ATCGGAAGATATTCTGTAGAGGAAAGGAAAGACAGAATTCTGAGGTACTTGAAGAAGAAGAACCAAAGGAACTTCAACAAGACAATCAAGGTATATATATCACATCATAAACTAAAATTTTCATACATCCCAGTATATATATAATTCATCTCCGAATATGCATCACCACAATAAAACAGGGTTTATATGCAATCAATATGGGTTAACCGACACTAAGTAACTTGTGACTGTGAGACAAAACTACTCCAAGGACATTATATTAGTGTAAGATAAACGTAAATGGCATCAGTATGCAGCCTTTTCTCCATATCATGCCATACTTTCCCCCGATTCATTCTGTATGATTACGTGATTAGCTTTTCATTTCTTTCAATACAAATGCAGTACGTTTGCCGTAAAACCCTAGCTGACCGGAGGGTTAGGATTAGGGGAAGGTTTGCGAGAAACAAGGAACCATGTGAACAGCAATCGCCGTCAATGAATCATAATAATACCGAAAAAGAAGGAGAAATATATTCGGGAGATGACTATCAAGTCCAGGTAATTATTAATATCTTAATATTTCAGATTTTTGTTTTTCAAAAGATACATTATTATAAATTAATTAAGTTCATTTCTCCATAATTAGGATTCAGGGTTTGCATGTAATTAATGTAAATAAACCATAAGTTAAATAGTTTATAAGTTTGTTGAGTTCCACCCCAAGTGATTCGTCACTCTCGCGTTCGAGCTTACTATCGATCTAACGAAATAATAATAATAATAATAATTATTATGTAAAATGATATCGAACAGATGGAGCACGACGACATTTGGCTGCAAGAAGCAATGCCCGATATAACTTACTTCCCGAGTGAATCCTACGGCGTCGGAGATGGTCATGAAAGGACATGGAGCTTCTGATCTCATATCTCAAGTTTTATGTGGTTAATTAGACACTAATTCGAACAATATAGGAATTGATGTCTCCATAGTTTGTACGTCAGAATTCTCCGAGTTCACGAAACGTACACCCAAGTAACATTGTCTGTGGATATACTGTCAATTATGTTTTTGACGTATGTGTATAAAAAGTGATGTTAGTGAGATTAAAAAAAAAAGAAAAAAGAAAAAGAGCATCATCTCTCTCATATGGAAGAGGGGGGAAAGCGCGTTTAATTAATTTGTTTGTTTATGCAAACAACCGGATGACACAAATTCCTTGGGTCCAATATTTATTCCGTTCATGAACAATCCACGTGTTTTATTAAGGAATAAATAACTTAGACGAATGATTAGCTTGCCTGCTTTTTTACATACAAAGGTGATCACTTAAAAAAATAGGCAAAATATTTAACGAATTATTTCAACGGGCGGCAATACCATCCGTTGAAATCTATTAAAAGACCCATGTAGGAATCTTCAAGGGGTTTTCAATTGAAAATCACTTGCAAATTGGTTGCATGGTACAACTAAAATTTGTTGAAAACTATAACCATCTTACAACACAAAATAACAGTCAATAGTTACAGCTTTTTTCAATTGAAATTTATAACTATATATATATATATAAAAAGCATAAAAAAAAAATCACAATAATCTTTAGATGAGTGAGCCGACGACTAAGTATATATAATAGATGGAATAGGCATTAGAAGACTCTCAAATGATTTGATCAATCATAGAAAACAGATGTACAAAATCATGGAAGTGCGTTGACTTTGTGGAAGCTGACACATCCAACAGCATGCTCTCGGTCGAGTCAAACGCAAAGCAGGAAAATTGCGGCAAGTAATAATTAATTGTCATCTTGGTGTGTTTTCCTGATGAAAGTATGGAACCAAATACTTTCTACAATTCCGGTGAACTCCCACTCACTCCATTTGCATTTTACTTGATGAGTCAACCCTAACAGACGTGAGGTATTATTAGAGTTCAATCTTTATCTATCACTCAAAAGTTACTGTTTCATCACATCCGATGTATAATATGTACGGAATTGATTTATATTAATTTTTTTTAACCCATGCACTTCATAAAAAATGATTTCAATAAAAACTTCTCTGTGTGATTTTTTTCTGTATCGCTAGAAATCTAAACATTTTGGATGTGAAAAAGATGGTTAAAAAAAATCACAAGCAAATGGGCGTGACCAGAAAGGACTCCAACAGGTGTATGGGAGCATTATCCGCTCTAATATTTTTATTTTGATTTTGCCTATATAGAGAGAGATAATAGGTATTGTGTATTATTAATTAAACCACGTTACATAAGTGCAATTCATTATAAAGTTAATCCTAATTACATTTGTAAAAGTACAAATATATCATCCCCTCAAGATGGAACACCGGAGGTGACTCCAATCTATCTTGACAAAATAGTCATGAAACGGACATTTGGGGAGAGGCTTTGTAAGAGCATCAGCGAGCTGATCAGAGGCAGACACATGCGACACACGAAGATCACCAGATTCCACGAGACCACGAACAAAATGATAGTCAAAGAGCAATGTGCTTCATGCGAGAGTGGAACACGGGATTGGCAGACAAGTAAGTAGCGCCAATGTTGTCACAGTAGATGATTGGCGTGCTAGAGAGAGGACAACTGAGTTCAAGAAGAAGTGAAGCTATCCATCGAACTTCAGCAGTCGTTGTCGCAACCGACCGATACTCAGCCTCCGTAGACGATCGAGCAATACCACGTTGCTTCTTGGACGACCAGGAAACCGGGTGACGACCAAGAAAAACAACATGCGCTCTAGTTGACTTAAAACCAAGGCGATCACCAGCCCAATCTGCATCCGAGAAAGCATGAAGAGTAGGGCAATTCTTGACCGATAAAAAAATGTCGCAATCCCGAGTACCAACAAGATAACGAAGAACTCGTTTAACCGCTTGCCAGTGATCAATTGGTCGGAGCATGTATAAATTGAGAAAGTTTGTTAAACTAATGTCAGGTCGGGTGAGTGACAAATACTGAAGACTCCCTACCAAAGCTCGATATTTGGTGGCATTCTCAAACAACGAACCCGAGATGGCAGTAAGTCGGGATGTCGAAGCCATAGGTGTGGAGACAGGCTTGGTGTCGGTCATGCTTGCCCGATGAAGGAGATCAGAGATGTATTTGCGCTGAGTGAGTAGCAGGACACGGTCGGAGCAGGAGGCTTCAATCCCAAGAAAGTACGACAAATTACCCAAATCTTTTGAGCGAAAACCGAGCACTAAGCGTCGAGATGACCCCTTGAACATCCGCATGATTGCTGCTGGTGACAACAAGATCGTCCACATAAACCAAAATGAAAAGGCTCGATGTCGGGGTAGAGAGAATGACCAACGAAGTATCAGCGAGAGAGTTCTTGAAACCCCGTTCAAGTAGAAAAGACCGAAGCTCCGAGTACCATGCACGCGGGGCTTGTTTAAGCCCATCAATCGCCTTCCGAAGTCGACAAACAAACTGAGGACGAGCAGAATCAACAAAACCCGGTGGTTGTGACATATAAATCTCCTCCATCAGATTACCTTGAAGAAATACATTATTCACATCAAGTTGACGCAATGGCCAACCAGGCGAAACAACAATACTGAGCACAACCCGAATCGTAGTGGGTTTAACCACTGGGCTAAAGGTCTCATGGAAATCAACACCCGGTCTTTGATGAAACCCCTTAGCAACAAGACGAGCCTTAAACCGATCCACTGAACCATCAGGGTTTCGTTTGATGCGAAACACCCAACGACAACCTACAACATTGGTAGCTTCTGTCGGAGGAACCAGAGACCACATACCATTCCGAAGAAGAGCCGAGTACTCGTCACCCATAGCAGCTCGCATCTAGGATCCTTCAATGCTTGAGAAATGTTCGCAGGCTCAACATCATTAGACGAGGTAGCGATCAAGAGAGCATACTTCCAATTTGGCTTGCTGATATTGTTCTTGGACCGAGTTTGCATGGGGTGCAGATTTTTTGCGGGCGAAGAAACAACAAGATTCGACGGCTAATCAGAAGAATCAGCTCCCGGAGAACACGCGAAGGATCCAAGCTCGCAGGCGGTGCAGTAGCAGGAGTATCAGTATCAAGCGGCCGAAGACAGGGAGCAATGGAAAACACCGGATCACCGGAGCTTGTAGGAGACTCGGCGACAGAAGAAGACTCGGACGAGAAATACTTCGACGGATCCGAGAAGGGAAAGATTCCTTCATGAAACTGAACATGACGAGAGGAATAAAGACGAGACGAGACCGGATCTAGACAAAAATACGCACTTTGCATAGGAGAGTAACCGAGAAACACGCACACTCGAGATCTCAGCTCAAGTTTGTGAGACGTATATGGACACAACCAAGGGTAATAAAGACAACCAAAGATGCGAAGTTTAGAATAATTTGGAGGAGATAAAAAAAGATACTGAAATAGAGACGACATTCGAAGGGCCGGAGTTGGCATACGGTTGATAAGATAGACCACAATCGTGAAAGCAAAAGACCAATACAACACGAGAAGAGATGCATGCATAAGGAGAGAGAGTCTGGTCTCGAGATATGGCGATGACGACGCTCAAAGATATTATTATGCTCATGAGTGTGTGGAGGTGTGGTGAGGTGAGAAATACCATGTTCGACAAGAAAAGGACGAAGGGCAACAAATTCACCGCCATTGTCACTATACAATGTGATGATCGATGTGCAAAAATGGTTTTCAACAAGTGGTTTGAAATGAATAAAGGTATCCCGAACATGAGATTTTTGCTTAAGAGGAAACAACCATGAATAACGTGTAAAGTGGTCGACAAAAAGAACATAATACTTAAAACCATCAATCGAATGCACAGGCGAAGTCCATACATCAGAAAAGATAATTCCAGGCGGACGAGAAGACTGAATGGTCGATTCAGAAAAAGTAATTTTGTGGCTTTTATTACTGCAACAAGAATGACAAAAGGCGGGAGATGAATCCCGAGAAACGGGCAAATTAAAAGTAGAAACAACAAAACATAAGACCGAAAGCGCGGGATGACCTAAACGAGAATGTCATTCAAACAAAGTGGATTTGACAAGAAAACACTTGAGTCGAAAAGGAAGAAGATGAAGTCGACGACCACTCATAGACTCCATGTTTACTTGGCCCGGTGAGGACGACCGCCCCCGTGCTGAGATCCTTCACCTGAAAATGAGACGGAAGAAATTCCACCGAGACACTATTAGTACGACAAAACTGATAAACAGAGATGAAATTCTTGCTCATAGTCGGAACACAAAGCACATCACCAAGATGAAAGAGAACGAGAGGCAGAGGGTAATGAGAGAGAACCCGAATGTGTGATGGGCAAACCCGAGCCATCACCAACAACAACATCGTCATCTCTAGTGTAAGGGTTGTGAATCAGTAGGTTGTGAAGATCAGTGGTGATGTGATGCGAGCCCCACTGTCAAAGAGCCAAGGCTGAGGATCGTAGCCGACATGCATTGCCGAGGGAGTCTGAGGAGCCGATGACCGAGGAGAAATCGACCAATGCGGATGTGCAACTGTATCAGAATGTCCGTGCACCGAGACGATGCGAAACTGTAGGCATCGTTTCGCACTGTGGCCTTGACAGCGTCCCATGTAACCCTTCGGCTGAGACCGTGAGGCAGGACGACGGTGCCCTACACACCGCGATGAGCATGCCGCAGAGGGTGTTTGTGTTAAGCACCGAAACCGGCATGGGAGAAGACACTGGCAGCGAATGAGAGAGAAGAACCTTAGCTTCATGGTTGAGAAGTTTCTCGGTAAGCTCCTGAATCGATGGCAATCGAACCAACACGACTTTCGTCCATGTATTGGAAGAAACCATCGATGGCAATCGAACCAACACGACTTTCGTCCTTGTTTCAAATAAAATGCATCTGTTTCCTCCATAGAATATGGGAATGCCAACTTTCCAACTGTGCTCCATCCAGATAATATGCCATAAGCTGAAAAAACACTAATCGTCCATAAAAGCACAACTTTTAGTGTAAAATTTTGTTTCACACTAATATCGTATCCATCAACTCCAATATTCCACAAATTTGTCAACTCTTTTATCAAAGGTTGTAAAAATACATCAAAACTCTTCTTTGGAAGATCTGGCCTAGGAATCAACAATGTTAAAAACATAAATTCTTTTTTTAGACACATCTCTGGAGGTAAATTATATGGCGAGAGTATAACAGACCATAATGAATACTACATACCAGATTGTCCATATGGACTAAAACCATCTGTGCATAAATAGAGATAAACATTCCGAGGCTCAGCATGAAATTCAGGGAATACTTGTTGAAATCTTTCCATGCAACACCATCGGATGGATGTTGCATTTCTCCCCGCACAGTGGAATGATTTGTATGTCATCTCATATGTGACGTTGTTTTCTCTGATTCATATAACCTCTTCAATCTATATGACATAGGTATATAGAACATCTTTTTATACGGAATTTTTCTGCGCGATGATGTCTTACTCGGTCGATATATATTCGCTCCACAAAAATTACACTACATCAAATCTTTATCGTTATCCCAAAAAAGCATGGAACTGTTTCTGCAGACATCAATCTTTTCATGAGGCATTCACAAATCCTTCAAGATTGATTTTGTATCATAATAGGACTCTGGAGCTTGATTATTTTCGGGTAAATATTCATGCAATTCTCGGTAACATTGTAATCTGTTTTCATGCTCAACAATCTTGATGCTAGAGATAACCGAGACTGACCTTGTTTGCATCCTTCATATATAGGATGATTTTCCATCGCCAACATGTCGAAAAACCGTTTCGCATCATTGTTTGGCTCTTCTTCTTGATCTGCTTGTTCAAATGCTCCCGAAAAAGCATCTGTCACCATCTGACTGTATGGATTTCTTGTTTCAAAATCAAAAGGTTGATTTTGTTCTCCGTCGTTTATCTCCTCCCTTGTCCATACAACGGTATTCGTCGTTGTTCGAACCTCTTCTCCATGCATGTGCTATACATAGTAGTCATCCATAAAACCTCTGCGATATAGATGTTTACAAACCACTTCTTGGCTAAGAAATTTTAAATTTCTACAACCTTTGCACGGACATTGCATTTTTCATCTCTCTTGACATATAGGTTGCATCGACGCAAAACTCATAAACTGCTCTAAACCAATACAGAATTCTGGTGTAACTTCTTTCGTTACTGGATCTTCTCTTCGATACATCCATTGTCGCAAAATATGAATATTTCTATTAGACGAAGAAGACATTTTTGTTAGGATTTTTTCTTGAGTGAAGGAAGAAGAGGACGTCGGAGGTGCTATATGGACACTTTTTCAACGAATTTCTGTTAAAAAAGTACCAATACCGCGTAATTATTCAAAGTCAGAATCAACAACGGCCATGGTATATCAACGGATTGCCGTTGCTCTTTTCAACGGATGTCCGTTGAGGACATATCAACGGATTGTCGTTGATTTAAACAGTCGAATATTTGCAAAGACGTTTCCGTTGTTATTCCGTTGCAATTTGCAACGGCATTGCAACGGTGTCTGCCCGTTACTAATTCTGTTGCTATTATGTTGATAGCGTCGGTGACACATTTGCAACAATCAATTCCGTTGCTAATCCGTTACCAATTGCAACAGAATTGCAACAGCTATGATCCGTTGCTCAGTCCGTTGCTATTCCGTTAGTCATTGTTGCTAAATTGCAAGGGCATATCTGTTGCATGTCCGTTGAAAAAAATTACAACAGATATGTCCGTTGAAAGTATCCGTTGAAATACGCGTGTTTTTGGTAGTGAGAATCAAGAGCATAAACCGCATCCACTACCGGTTTATACTCCTCCGGAAGACCATCGAGAATCCCTTCAAGTACATCCTCATGATCCATAGGCTTTCCGAGAAGAGACAGCTCATCGATTTTGGCAATGATGGAGCGAAGATATTCACCCATCGAGAGTGACCCTTTGACACTCTTCTTAACGTGATCACGAAGATGTAAGATGTGCCCACGAGATGCTTTTCTGTACCTGTTGGTGACTGTCTTCCACACGTCGAGTGTTATTTTCGAACGCGCAACCAAAGGCTGAAGAGATACCGAGATCGAG